AGCTTTTCCTTATCTCTAGCCTCTGAAATTAAAGGACTTGAAATAAATAATTTAAACATCGATCTGCGATAAAAAAAATCTCTTTACTTTCCAATTAGAATTTAAGCTTCTTAAAGAACTGGATTGTTGGTTGCCTTTCTGAAAATTAAGGCGCATTAGCATTAGAATAAACTCAATGAATGCATGTCTAACAAATTGTTTAGCATGTTGTGAAAATAACACGTATTCTCGCATGCAAATCAGAGTTTATTTCAGTTATTTCTGGGATACCTCTGGCATAGGTAAATTTCGTGCCGTGTTTCTGGCAATATTTACAGACGATCAATTATCCTGTTGCTTCGCCTTCTTGACTGGGTGTGTTCCCAGGTTTTCTGTAAGGAAAGTGGGCGTAGTCCAGTCCAGTCTCAAGCAATTTCACGAAAACTTTGTTGACACGGCATACCAAAGCCCTAACCCAAACCCAACCCCAAGACCCGATTCTGTTTGCCCATCAAAACGAGCGATTATGTAATAATAACATGATAATCAAACTAACTACATCGTGCAACAGTAGTAATGGAACGCCTCAGCTATTTGAACGAATTTTGCTTTTGTTCACCAACTTTTGCCAGAGAAATGTGCGTGCCTATGATTTTTTTTGCTCTATAAACGTATGATCTTGAACGACAAGCTGCTAAGGTCAAAGTCGCTTTTGAATGTGGGTCGTACATTGATTTTTTCGCAATAAAGGTGACAACTTGGAGGAAATAGCGAATCTTTGTACTGCATTAATGATTCAGAAATTAAGATTTGTGTTTAACAGTCATGCTAAAGTGTTTTGATTCCAGATGCTGAGTTATATAATCGCAATGACGTGTTGAAACAGTCATTTAGAACATTCAGTAAAACAGCTTTTGGCACATTTTGGAAGTTTTAGTAAATATTTTTATAAATGACGTATAATAATATTGTGATCCATAATTCTGTGTTTCAGCAAACATGCAACATAACTTTCATAACTGAAGTTTTCCGAAATTGAAGTCTTTCCTGTTTTTACGCAATAACTTTGTTTTTCATTATTTTTTAAATCGTGTAATTAAAAAAAGTAATAGTTTTATTTACTAGCAAAAACTATAAAGATAGTCATATACTTTCGTTCGAAAAACTTTTATGTTTACTTGGGCCCCACGTCCAGAGTCTAGACCTTATCACGCCAAACGAATAGCTGATAGAGGCGAAGCTTTGACATTGACTAGTCCGGGTCCAGCTCTCCATGTACGTATTTTACGGCCTGTCGTACAAATCAAACGCAATCAAACAAATCAAACTGTTCCATAAACTGGTTAAATTTTGGTTCACCCCCAATCACTTTCGTAGAGCAGACATTAATTGCCATCGCACTGCACATGCGGGATAATTTCAAAATTATGCACAACAGATATAGATCTTGGATCTATGATTGTCTGGCTGTGCGACAAACACGTTTCATCCAATAGCGAAACCATAAGAAGGTCATAAATATTGGGCGGAAAAAGTAGGATGAGTCCGAAAATAAAACAGCCACATTTCCCTCTCTGGGATGGTGCGTATCGCATGGGTGTGTGTATGGGAATGGTCTATGGTCTATGGGGTATGGAATAGAATAAAATGTAATTAACACATGTCTGCCAGAGAGTGACGAAGGCAAATTACAATGCTTGGAGGGAAGTGCGGAGAAAGGAGGGCAAGGGAAAGGGTCCCACCGAACCGAGGGGAAAAGAAATTGAGCAAATATTATGCAATTAATTTCCTATGCACTTGATCGATAGACCAACTCAATTTAGCTAGGGTCCACTGAACAGCGACTTACTTTTGAATAGAAAAGGTTCCGAAGAAGCGCCCTGCGCCTATCCTCGTGGTCCTGGCGGCTCCGAAATGTGGGTAATCCCTCGCTCCAGCACTATAAAACAATTTCAAACGAGTCGTGAGTCAACGTGGGTTCTTGAGCTTATATACCAAGCTTATGTATCAGCACATACGAATTCACGGTTCCTATATATGCGGCTTTTGTCAACTGGTCGGCCTCTTTTTATTTGGGCTTTGGTCTGGGTTTGGTAGGTAGAACAGCACGAATTCGCAAACGGTTGCTGCACTCTGATTCTCCGTCTTTCTGCCCAGGAACTCGCGAACCGTTCACTTCAAAGCTGTCCGTCGGACTGGCCGAGCACAAAAAACTCGAAAGTTTCGACTAGTTCCGTGGAGAGTGGTGGGGTTTCAGCGGTGCTGCGCTACGAACATTCTCGCTAACGCTCCCTCTCCCAATCTCTGTGGCGCCTCTCGCAATTTCGAGGCCTGCGCGTGCTCGTGCTCCCTACCGGCAATGATTTGTTCTCAAATAAGATGGTTAGAGCTTTGCGACTTTAAGTTACCCATTACCCACAGAAACATTTAAGAACTGGGTTCATTCTCGTCTACTATAATAACTCTGAGCGCTTGAGATTTTAATAATTTTATAGGTTTTATAAAAAATTTTAATTCAATTTGTTTGTATTTACCACAAAGTGTTAGTATCCCAGATTTTAAGTACCGAACTTTAATAGATCCCGAGATCTAACAACATACGCAACCAAGTCCCCAGCAATTTAGGATTCTACGAAAATGTTGTTATTATCATTGAAATCGCAAGGGGCATATCCTATACTCATAGATCCCAAGTTGTACGACCCTGATCTATTAGGACGAACACTTTTCTGACATGAATTTCGAAAATCTTTCATTCGTATGATATGTGACCGAAGTCTTACGTACATTTTAAGATCACACAGACTTTTATCCGTTTGTCACACGCCTTACACGACTCTAATATACCCCTCGATTACCCGGTAAAGAGACTGAAACATCATCGAACTTTGTCCTAGCGGCAAAGCTGTTTTTGTCGCCGTATGCCGGTCGCGCAAGAGAACTTTCTATTGACATTGGCCGCCAGTCGATAGACAGAGAGGGTGGGATGGGAGGTCGAGCGAGAGAGCGACAGCTGTTCGCTGAAACCCCAAAAGACACAGGTCCCAAAAATCCAAATTACTTCATCCAGGGTTACTTCAAATTTTGAATGGCAAAAAACTAAACGAAGCACTTAAAATTTGAAAAAACTGACTAGTGAATTATTAAATCCAAATGGCCTACTGGGGAGCGCTAAATAAATTAATTATCCAAATTATCCATCAAGGTTTTTCATTTCCACAATTCTTGGTTACCTCATCACTGGAGTTTGCAAGACCCCGGTAGTCCAGCTAGATGATAGTTCGGGGGTGAGATGTCATCCTAATCTCTTCAAACCAAAGAGTGTTGGATGTATGAATTTAAGGAACACCACCATGGAAATCCTTCGTATCATAAAACATAAAAAAAAAATATGTATCAATCCCTCATTCCCCCGATTGCTAGTTATAAAAAAGGTGAACCACATCTGACATCCTCTGATATTGATATATTATGCTTGTGGAAACTTTCTGAACATAATGAGCTTTTTGTTGTTGTTTTGAGAAGGGAACTCAAATGCTCTGGCCATTTCGATCGGACGCGTGGAGCTTATAATATTAACAGCCGGTATGTCTACATATACCGGGACTCGTTGGCAGAGTCAGATGAATCGTATGACTTCCAATGGTTTTCAAGATTTGGCGCTGATTTGAGCGAGTAAGAGAAAGCAGAGAGGACTTCTCTGTTATCGCCGGTAGAAGCTGAATTTATTGGGAGCTCTCTTCAAAATACATCTTTGCGCTATATATATGTTCGTGTATAGGTAAACACGCGTATATCGTAGGTTTTCAGATTTTTATTTTTATAATGCGGCACGCGCGATTGGGGCAATAACAAAGCTGGGGAGTCTTATCAACTCACCAGACCGAAAGAGGGGCCAACCAGAATGATGTTGTGTATGAGCGACGGCAGATATTACAGGCAGATAATGCCCAAATGAGGGAGTGTTTACCTGCAAACAGAGAAGTGTGTTAGAAAAGCCTATATGTATCCATAAATCATACATCGCTTCTTTTTTTGAATCACCTTTGGGTTACTTAAAAAACTCATCAACATAGTTTTAAAGAATAATTTTCCAATGCCTATATTGCCAGCTCTTCATTTCTAAAAACTTTGAACTTTGAAGCAAGAGTCTGAAACACAAAAACAAATATGAAATCACTAAAGCTGCAGCTCAAAGATTATATTAAAGAAATCTAGGAACTTGGGGATACTACCACCTCTAAGAAAAGATTCCACACACTTCTGGGCGATTAAAACGTATTGGTGAACAGATAAGAAGGGCCACGCCTCCGTCTGAATGGAAATCTTTCATAAGCTATCAATCCGATGGTGCAAAAATAGCCAGTCATTGCTAATTACTGGACACACCATATCTTATCAGCTCCAAATGCGGGGAATTAAACTAATGTACCCTGCCCAAACGGGGATTTCTCTTACTTTGAGTGCCTAATATGCTTTATATACTTCATATTCAGAAAAGAGTATTTATTAGTCGTTTTATTGAGAGCAGCAAGACCTAAAAAAAATAGTGATAGTATCACGCACGTGCCGCTTATTTTAGTACGTTAATTTCCTCATGAATACAGTGATAAGGCTTAAGTTTGATCTATCTTTTTCGATTTATGGTTTTAACAGGCCATTCTATCAGTTTGCCAAGGCTGTGTACTCCTGGTATTCAAGGGTACAATACTTTAAAAAGTCTATAAGCGTAAGCAAATTCATTTTCACTCTGATCCAATTTAAGTCAATTCTAGAGAATGATTATATCAAAGTCCAAAGTATATTAAGATATGATAGAATTAGGTTTTTTGTTTTTAAAAAACCGTTGATTATTACATTTTACAGTGAAGCTTATTAACAAAAGCTTAGCATACTTTTTGGTCAACGATTCTTCAAATAAACTATCGCTGTGTTGGATACAGGAAATCGAGAGCTTTCAGTATTTTTAGGGTTTCAAATGACTGCCACTTAATTTTTTGAAAACAACTTATTTGTATCTTTTAAACACATTATTTACAATTTTCTCAACTATGTTTATAAATCCCATAGTAAAAAAACGACTCACAAAGTTTCAGTCTTCTCAAATGAATTTTACATCAGCAAAACCCAAAAGAGTTTTGATGGGTGGTAGACGGCAATCATATAGTATGTAGTAAACAAAAGTCAGCTGTTCTTTATAGCTTATTTGCAAACGCAGTTCTCAGAAAATATAACAATGTTTATACTAAGTACCAGATCGATAATAAAGCCGAAAATCCTTGCTTTTCCAAGCCAGTTATATCGTTATTTGCAATACAATCAAGGTCAATCTCCGGAGCCCAAAATTCGCGAATACTTCTACTACATTGATCATGAGGGAATGGTGAGTCTCAAGACTATGAACATTTACCTGAAATATCAGAACATCTTTTGTAGCTCTTTCTCGACGATGCGAAAATGAAAAACTTTACCAGCTGCTTCAAAGAGAAAGACTTCCTGAGATTCTTTTTCAGTCGCCTGCGACTGAACAAAACGAATAGATACGCAAACGAATTTCCATACATTTCCCTCTGTGGGCGGGAAAGGAATTTTATACGGTGCGACGACACGCCTCTTGTGTTTACTGAGCAACTGAGAAAGGACGATAAAGAGGTGCTCAGCTATGCGCACTCGGGACAAGTCCTAACCCTGCCCTATGAACCGCACAAACTGTACATGGATCCGCGAAACGGAAGGGTCTATCACCCAGCCACGCCACAGGTGGGCGGAATAGGTCTGGTCCGTTCCAAGCTGGCCATCGAACTCAGTCAGCACTTTGAGATTCCAACTGGTCAGGCTTCCCCCACTCACTTTCGATGGAACGGAGAGCGATTGAAACTGCAGAACGAGTGGGTTAGCGATACTCAGCGATTTCCCATGAACGAGGAGTGTATATAATCGAATAACTTTAATGGATTAAAATTGAGACAACGTTAGTACTACGTAGATAACTTACAGGGCTGGTAAATTGTTTTTACTCAATGCTGAGGGGCTTGAACTCGCCCTCCTTCACCCAGGAGAGACCAGTGGCGTGGCCTGCATTCGCCTGTTGCGAAGAGGATTCCGTCTGCTTGCTTCTCCCAGCCCTTATGCGCTCCAGAACGGGTCCGTGTACGTCCGTTTGAAACTTCTCGAATACTATGTAGTGCGGATCCTCGGTGGGCGGAGTGTCGTAGATGTGCTCCTTGCTCTCCTTTATGTTTTCTTGGACGCGGGTCGCAAACTCCTCCTTGTTGCCCATTAGCAGCTCTGCAGCCTCGCCGTTCTTCAGTTTGTCCACTTCAATGCCACGAATGCTGTCCACGGGATCGGAGAATATGGCCTGCACGTACTTCAGAAGCTGCCAGAGATGATCTTCGCCACACCGCCACTCCGGGAAGGCGTGACTCACGTCCAAAGTGTGGGTGTAGGGGCACACATGGGGGTGCAGCACATCCTGCTGGAATATTATGGTCTGGGGGGAGGTGTTTTGAGTAATATGCACTTGGTTTATCCATGACCTTACTTACCGGAAGACTTTTGTCGTCGGGAAAACGGTCGGGCAGCAAAATTGAGAAGCGAAAAACACTTTCTGCATAGAAGCCCTGGCGTCCAAAGAAGACCCCGAACCACTCTATGAAAACCATAAAATAAATATATGTGTGCATAAAAGACATATGTAGGTATGCTCACGCAGGGAATTTGCATAGCTAGGTATCACATATAGGCCTCCTAACTTCTCCGACTCGATCATTTTGCTAAAAACACAAAATAAGAAAGTAGGTAAATTTGTTTTGTCACCATTGATTAAGTACAGAGAAAACTCACTATTCAGCCAGGATTTTGTACTCCTGCTGGATGGTGGCGATGAGCAGCTTGTCATCCTTCTTATTCGCGTCCAAATCTAGAGTCATTTCGGCCCGACAATTAATAAATAAAACACAAAACTCTTAAAATAAACAAAACAGTGTGTTGGTGTTTCCTCGAACAGCTGTTTTCAGCAGAGTTGCCACCTTTTGTCTTCCCCAAATGGACTCGCATTGATTTGCAGCCCTGGTATTTGACTAAAAACAAAACCCAGCATGCGGATGCGGCCTTCAGAATCTGGACAAAAATGACAACTACTCTAGAAGCCCAGCTTTCAGACAAGCTTCAGATGATGGACGAGATCAAGGACATTGACCAGGAGCCGCTGAAGGAGGAGGAACCCAGCAATGCACCCATTAGTTCTGATGGGACGCAGGCGTCGCCTTCTCCCACTGCAAGTGCCACCAAGATCGCTGGTCCGGAGCCCGAGTTCTACGACAAGGCGCAGAAGTACTGGTCCGAGGTTCCGGCTACCGTCAACGGGATGCTCGGCGGTCTCGGCTACATCAGCGCCATCGATATACAGGGCTCCAATGTGTTCCTGCGCGAAATTCGCGTGCCAGGCAACAGGTTGGCCTTGGACTGTGGCGCCGGAATCGGTCGGGTGACCCGAAATCTCCTGATCCCGCGCTTTAACTGCGTGGACCTCGTCGAGCAGGATCCCGCCTTTGCGGAGAAGGCGCGGGAGTACTGCACCACGGGTGACCTGGGTCCCGGAAAGGTGGGCCAAATCTACAACGTAGGACTGCAGAGGTTCGCGCCCTCGCAGCAGTACGACCTCATTTGGAGCCAGTGGGTGCTGGGCCACCTCACGGATCGCGACCTTGTTTCCTTCTTCAGGCGCATCAAGCTGGGATTGGCACCCGGAGCGTACTTTTGCCTGAAGGAGAACGTAAGCAGCTCCAAGAAGACGGTGGAGGACAAGGAGGACTCGTCGGTCACGAGACCACTGGAAAGCTACGAACGCTTTCTGAAGGAAGCCGGATTCCGCATCGTGCGCAAGGTCAAGCAACAAAACTTCCCCAAGGGACTGTTTCCGGTGTATATGATCGCCTGCAAGCCCGTCTCCAAGGAATAGGTTTAGGTTTTAGTTAGTTTTAGCATTGACGTACGAACCATTGTACTAAAGTTATCCTCAAAGCAAATTCAATGTCACATTACTAGCTAGTCAATTAAAATTTAACGTTATGAACAACAAATAAACAAGCTTTAAAGAGCTTTTAAACGTTCCTTAATGGATGCATTTCTGTATACTTTTGTATTGTCGAGAACGGTCCAGAACGATCTGTGTTGAAAGATTATGGGGGCAACCCCTAAAGGCAGTTCCTGGGCTACGTTGACCAAAAGGGCTTCTCCAAGAAGAAGGTCCACGATGTCTTCTCCAAGGGCGACATGGCCTTCATCTCGGGCAATCTGCTGGTGGCCGATAAGCGGGGCTATTCTATTATTTCTATAATCTTTATTGTGCTGGCTCTTAAAAATCAATATTTATAAAACTATAAAAGAATGAATTCGGGACATTTTTCAAATGATTTTTGTACTTTAAATGATAATAATGGGATCACACATTTTAAATAATTTCAGCAAGTAACACAATCCTTTTAGTAGGAGACAATTTGATTAGATCGCAGTTGTATTTGATTAGTTGTGTAATTTATTGTGCTATTATTAAATAATTTTAAAAAAGGAAACTTACAATTGAAAGAGCATCATTAGCCACTCTTCAATAAAGAAGCGCGCTTAGAAAATCTAATATTCCGAGTTCCATATCCAGTTCCAATCAAATGGGATTTGCTTAAGTTTCAGTCTTCAATAGAACTAGCAGTTTGCTAGGTCTTGTTAAGTTTATAAGAATGAGATCTGCTAGTTTGTTGAAAAACTGAAACCTGCAAACTAGGTAAAGCCAGACTTGACAATGATTTGGATGTGGAAACCGGGCCGTATAAAATACTTTCAGCAGTCTTTGGAGCGGTTTCCGCTCAATCCTTGGGCGGCACATCCTTGTTGAGCTCGGCCCGCTTCCGCTGCTCCATGCGCTCCTCCACCTGGTCCAGCCGGTCGCTCATCGCGTCCAGGGAACTGAGGAGACCCGCCTGGATCTCGCCGTAGCGCTTCATGGCCAAAACGAGGCTCTCCTCGATGAGCTCGCTTTGCTGGGCGTACTCGCCGTTGTTTTGGGTGATGCCCTTGAGCTGCTCCAGACACTCGGCGGGAATGCTGCGGAAGTACTCCGCCCCCAGGGCCGGTTCCAGCTGCCTGATCCTCTCCAGCTGCTCGGCCTGAGTGTGCAGCTCGGGGGCCACGGCATGTAGGTAGACCTCCTTGGAGCGCACCTGCTGCTGCTCCTCGAGGAAGTTGGGGTCCAGGTACTTCTCCAGTTCGCCGGATCTCTTCACGCACTGCTGCAGTGGAGCACTGCCCGTCGTGGCTTCGCCCAAAAGGGCGTGTGCCGAGCACAGGGCATCGACCACGCCCTCACCCGCCTCCGAGTCCTGCACGGGACCCAGTACCCGCGTCAGAGCATCGATACGCTTCTCCAGAATGTCCAGGGCCTCCATTTTTCACCGGATTTCTTTATTTTGTTTGGTTGCAGGAATGATGTCAGCCTTCTTTAAAATATACTTTTTAATACCACAATTAATTGAAACATACCACAAATAAAATGTAGGAGGGTGTATTCGCTAAGTGGAAAGGTGCCCTTGCTAATCATTTGATGTGTACACACTGGTGCACATTAACCCTCAAGTGGTACTTTCAACTATTTTCAAATATTCAACTACATAAATAACGATTTTTTAATCAAATGTGGAACTTTTGAAGTTCAAATTTCAAAAATAAAAACCATTCTCTTATTTATATAACTATTTACTTAGTTACTTTTAAACTAAATCAGTTAATTACTCTACAGTTTAAAAATCCCTTGTTCCGGATCTGCATACCTTTACAGCTTAAAATTCTCTAGGGACAGCCGTTCGGCATCCTTGTTGATCTGAGCCAGACTGTCCTCAGAGATGATGCGCACCACATCGCCCTCCGGATCATCGCCTGCGGAGTCATCCAGCACACACAGCAGGCCATCGTTTTCCATGTAGGGAAAGAAGAACTCCGGCTTGTCCCAGCTGGTCCTGTCTCCGATGCCGCAGTGCAGCTCTTGGGCCATGTGCTCCACCAGCAGCTCCTGCTCATCGAATTGAAGGTCACAGGTCGCGCAACGCAGCACGCACATCTGTCTGCGCAGGTAGTTGACCACCTTGACGCGCTGGTAGAAATTCAGCGGGCTGGTGGCCTTGTCGAAGTCCAAACGATGGGCATCGAGCATGTGATCCTTGAGAGCGGCAAAGTTGTCCCCAAGATGGGGGCAGTACAGGCACCTAATCGCACTGGGCTCACCATCTGCCGCCCAATCCGACCAATCGGAATCGTGTTCATCATCCGAATCCGGACGAGCAAAGTGCTTGTCAAAGTCCACGCTGCCGGTTTCGGGATCAGCGACTGTGGACACCGATGCGGTCTCCTGTCTTCGTTTTGAGTGGTGCTGCTGCTTCCTGGGGGTTGGAGCAGCTGGTCCGCGATTGTAGTTAATGAGGAAGTACTTGTCGTACTCCCTTCTATTAGGATTAATCCGCTTGTGACCTTTCTTGCGCATGTGCTCCTTGAGCGTGGGCCGATCCCTGAAGATCTTCTCGCAGTACAGGCACATCAACCGGTTAAGGTTCTCCTCCAGGTGATCGAGCAGCTCGTCCACGTAGACCAGCTTCTCAGGCTTACCCACCAGCAGGAAGTGCTTGTCGAACAGGTGGTCCAAGTAGTCAGCCCTCAGTCCCTTGATCACGGTCCTGCAGAAGAGGCACTCCTTGGAGAAATTTCTGTCTGTTAGCTCAAATTGATGGCGCTCGAGGGCTTCACTCAGCCGCTTTTCCTTCAGCCTGCGTCGCAGCTCGTAGTCCTGGGGCAGGATATCGCACAGGAGGTAGTACTTCTCGTTCCTGGCATATTTGCCATCGGGCAGTTGGTCAAGAAACATGGTTGTGCAATATTGCTCGAATTCATGGGCTAAATTGTGGGAATTATTAACGAAAGTGTAGGATTAAGAGATAGGAAGTCCGCCTACCCTGAAACTCCTTTTCCCAGTACTGCAGATAGTCCTCCAGCAGGGCTATATCCTCCACATCTGCTATGACCAGGCGGTGCTCCAGATACAAGTGCGCCAGGCAGTCGTCCTTGTCGGCGGGAAATATGTACACCTTGTCGCACTTCAGGCACTTTATGGCCGTATTGGCCGAGGGCTTGAGTGGAGGACTGGACTTGATACCCTCTGGGGGGCCATCCTCCCCAGAAACAGCCACCTCGTGCTCCATTTCGGCGGTGTTTACGTTTTGCTCCAAGAACCGTATGACCGTTCGTGCTAAGCCAAAAAATACTGGTTGGCTAGAATATATAGTAAAATTTGAACTACAGTGAACAAAACTGGGATCAAAAATCTATAAATAATTAACTTTTTAAATTAAAAATTTTTGTTCTTAAGTTTTCATGGAAACCGATCTGGAAATGCAGGACCTTTTCGCCATAAGCTAGGTCTGCGCCTAAAAATTTAGTTACCTGAGTAAGAAAATATTAAAAACTGTGTGCGCTAGAGTGGGCGTGGCACCCGGCTGTAACAAATGCTTGCCAAGTCCCAACACTCTAACTCCAGACAGACGGACATCGCTAAATTGACTCGGCTAGTGATTCTGATCAAGAATATAAACACTTTATGTGGTCGGAAACGCTTCCATCTACCTGTTACAAAGGTTTAAACTTTATTATTTTGATCACGATACTCTTGAAAAAAAGATCTTTATACTATATACTCACTTATATAAATGTAAAATTTACACAAAACCATGCATCATTTCTTATTTTTATTAGTGCAGCCACTTAGCAAATAAGTTCAAGGCATTATTCTATATTTTAAATTGTTTTAAGTCACTTATTTTTAATGCTCTTAACTCTTATCTTTCGATCTAACCTCAAGGCTATCATTTTTTTTAGTTCAGTTTATACTTAGCAAATAAGTTCAGGGTTATATTCTATAGTTTAAATTCATTTTAAGTCTCTTATTTTGAATTATCTTAATTCTTATCTTTCGAGCTAACCTCAAGGCTATCATACATTTCTTAAAAATAATTCATTTAACATAAACACCTCCTTACGAGGTAAGGGGACTCGACGATCGCACCTTCAACATACAAAACTACTGACCTTAAATTTTGTATGAAAAATGGTTGTACACTCGACTGAAAAAAATATTATTTTTGAAATTTTTTCAGAAAACATAAATATGGTCAGATAAAAATGGATAAATTCTTTATTTAACAATCGATTTATCAAATTACCGAGTTCGCAAATATTCAAGAGCTCTCAAGATAAAACCAGTTAAGTGCGTTACATTTGTGTAAACTCCCAAACCGCTACAAGAGCGAAGTCCATAGCTGACAATACCGTACTGGAAGGTCCGATTAAGACCGTTATAGGTTCGTACTGCGCTTAACGGTCCGCCAGAATCCCCCCGACATGAGTCGCTGGTATTACTGCCAGCACATATCTGGGCTATATCAAATTCCGATCTAAAAATCTCCGCACATATGTTTCGATCTATGTTTTCTAAGGTAGCAACTTGTAGAATCTTGCTATAATCGCTACTTTCAGTTCTACCCCAGCCGGTGACACTAAAAAAGGGAACGTATCCCATTTCTTCATCGATGAGAATGCAGATCGGTCTCACAAAATCTAAGGATTGAATAATTAGCTTGGAGCTTCGTGATGCCTTTTTTTAATTACCTGAGTAGGGAATGATTTCACTCATTCGAAGGATGCCTATATCATTCTTGTAATCCCTAAATTGTTTATGAGTAACTTTACTATCGACATTAACTTCAAAGCTCCTTGGTATGCAAATACCCGAACTGCAGTCTTCCATGAAGTATTGATCATCGTATTCGCCCAAGCGTACTTTCCTAAAAAAAACGTAAGTGACGTAAACATAAATGAGGAATCTAAAATTCCTGCACTTACATGGGCCCAGAAGTTATACAATGCGCTGCTGTCAGAACAAAGACTGCAATATAATGATATACGTAACTAAAACTAAATTAAAATTATAATTGAAATGCATACGAGAAGTGATAAGCGAACCGCCACAGTTTTCAACACGTGACCCGATCACCAAAACCATCCATGGATTCGAAAGTATGTCTGTATCTCGACCTCTCATAATTTTCCCGATGTTCCCTGAAACGGCACAATTAGGGTCGAGCAAGTAAGCCAAACCTTCTTTAGTTCCAATAAAAAGGCAGGCTAAAAGCCCAATCACCGAAATGACGATCTTCATGATATTTCAACGACTGAATGGAGGCACTCAAAACGGATCGCCTTATATTGGGTCTTTGACCAGCAGATACTGAGTCAAACATAATCATGTTTTTATGATTTTCGCGTGTAAGCAATACTACGCTTTGTTTCGCGATAGCTAAGGAAAGCAAAGCACAATTTGACTCTAATTTTAGAACCCAACGATGAAAATATATTTCTAAGAATAACAACATAAAATAACAATACAAAATTATTATCACTTTTTTAAGAAATAAATTTTTTTATATACAGAAGACTTAAGTAGATTAGATTAAGAAAATGCTGTTACCGTTTGCAAAAACAAAGGGTTTTGTTTGAAGTTTAATTCAACGAAATTTTAAGTTTTTAATCAATTAGTACAATTAACGTTTTTATAGTCATATTTAATGAAATAAGAAAACCATTTTTGCTAGACTTCGCCAATGTTATTTGTAGTCAGGGTATCAAAGTGCAAGCATATACACCACAAATTTTAAAATGATCGTAGGTCGTGGCTTTTTAAAGTTCAACTTAAATTAAGATAGAGAAATCTGTATCGTATAAAATCGTATTCCTTTAAGCAGAAGTCAATAATCAAAAGATTTTCTTTCCGTGCAGTAAAATACTAAATCAAATAAATAAATACCAAATATACCAGAGCGCCACTCAAGCTAAGGAGAGGTATTTACCGACTTGCAGCGAACGGTAGCCACTCACTGCTGAGCGGTTTGCTTTGGTCGGGGGCGGAATTGAAATTGTTAAACAAAAATCGAAACTCAAACACGGGAGCACGACGTTAACGTAAGTGCAGCGGCAATCGATTTGGTGTTCGTTACGTTACATCGCCAATTGAGGAGTCCTCAATACCCACACAGATACACCCCGCGCACACACACCCGCACACACACGCACAGCCCAGGGAGAAAATTTAGAGCCAGAACCTCAATTTATCAATTTAACAATACAAATTGAGACTCGTCTGCAGTGGGTACAAAGTTCAGTCCGTGTGCACTGCCCTGCGGCTGTGTGCGTGCATGTGCATGGCTGTGTGCGGGTGTGTGTGCAGTACGCAAATGAGAAGAAAGGAAAGAAAACAAAAAAAAATACCATTGCAAATCATTTTTCAGTCTGTGTGCAAAGCGCTTTGTGAAAGTATTCCCCGTGAAAGTATTTCGCATTCTGCAATTTTCCGCAACTACAATGGCTGCGCACTTTTTTCGCACTGCATTTTACGCAACGGCGGCGAGAAAATCGATGAGTTTGCCCTTCGCCGGCCGGACAGCCGCAACTTTAGCCGTGGGCCTCTCCTTTGGTGGTAAAATATCCCAATCCCAACTATCTGTTACAGTGCACTGTCCCCTAATTACCCCATCTCCCGTTTTATTTATAACCGCCCATCATCCGCCATTGAATAGCGCAAAATAGCCGGGCAGCCGTGCCGTACGAGAATGCCTACGCGGACAGCTTCTTCGGTGGCTGCCAGAGCCAGGGACTGCTCAAGATTCCGCCCCCGCAGGTCCGTAGGATCCAGCCCCCGCTGATCCGGAACTTCTCGAGCCTGCAGACAGGCCAGCAGCAGCAGCCGCAGGCTCCAAGTGTAAGCATGATCCCAAATAATGCATTCTTCTCTTGTGGAGGGGTTCCCAGGATCAACAGAAATTTGATTTTTCTAAATTATCTAATCCTTCAAAAGGAATCTTCCCAAAATAATCAATACTTTCGGCTTACTAGGGGTTCCCATGATCAACAGAAGTCCAATATAACCATTAGTTATCTAATACCTAATCCTTATAATCCGCCCATTCCTTTTTTTTTGTATATATGTAAAGTAATTAATCCTATTAGTTCAGGGGGGTTCCCAGGATTAGCATAGGTTCTAGAGACTTTTCTTTAAATTTCTTATCCTACTCTTCATTATCGTAACACTTAATTTCACACTTTTTGAGACCTCTGGCAGTCTTGTCTGCCATTAACCCAAATTTGCATTATCGTAAATGTTACTATCTCCACAAAGCGAGTTCAGAGAATACTTTATGGAGCAGGGTTCACGAGTTTAATAACTTATCCATAACATTTTTAAAGATGACTTACAGTACGATAACATGGTCTTTATAAGTCTATATAATATAGGAGCATATTAATAGATTTCTAAAAAAAAAGAAAGAAAACTTTGAAAGATATGTAGGGTATAGCAATATAATCATTTCTGTAGATAATTAATCAAATGATGACGATATTAATCCATTATATAGTCAGCAATTACATCTGCAATATATGAACTGAAATGTCAGTAAAGTTCCCAAATTAAGTACCAAAGTCAAGATTGACTAAAGACCGATTTATAAATCAGAAATATATAACAGTGTATTGTAGTTCTCGATGACGAACTACTGATTTTGGTCCATTGAACATCTGTTGATCTGTGTTGAACCTTTAATTACCTTTATTTCGCATCTTCATTTTGTGCATCTTGTAGTTTGTTACTTTAGAAATTTGCATGCTTGAGTAAATTGTATTCCCTGCACTTTGTACCCGGCAAATGATTTCGGTTCTCTATCTCCCTAACCTCGCCCCTCTTCAATGGTGATTTGTACAGATAACCTGTGCTTGCTATATATGTATTTATAAATATTTGTACATTATTTTAATTGCTGTTTTCCAGTGCCCTGCAATTAGTACGTACTCATTAACCGCTTGAACTAACCAGAAAATTATTCAGCGTATGTGATATTACCGATATCGAATTTCAATGAAGTGAAACCCATGTCCTTGGAGGTATTTTTGGAACCACCCTCGCTTTCAGCAAGCTCAATTGAGCAGCGACTTAGCTTTTTCCATGATTCAAATCATAATGGCGCCCAATGCCAAGCTTTCGCCCGAGCCGCCAAACATTCGTGTTCTGTGTTTATTTTCAGACACAAAGTTGATCATATCTAGAACTTTTCGTATTTAAGGGTGTTATGGGCTTTAGGATATGTATACTTATGAACAAAGTAATATCATTTAAATATGAGTTAATAGACAAATCTGGAGATCTATAATTAGAAAGAGTCTTGAAACTATGCGGATTATTGAAGTACAGGAAGTATCTAGAATTTATTGTGTACAAGGGTATTTTTGGATCTAAGATATTTATAAAAACGAATTAATATCATTTAAAGACGAGTTAACAGATAGAAAATCGTGTTTAGGTATCAAAATATAAGGATCTATAGTTAGGAATAGGTTTTATCGTTGATTAGAAGGTATCTGCTAGTCGGGACTCTATATCTACTTCCCCAAAGGGTACTGGGGCTTCCAGTGGCGCAATGTAATTTAAACCAATGCCGCAAAGAGTAGAAAATACATATTCCTCCATATACACACACAGCGGCTGAAATAGCAATTTTCCATGGGGAATGTAAGCTCGACTCAATTCCGCTCAACTGTCCATGATCGTTCCAGTGGATCGCTGGGTGTATATGCTATATGTTGTGGATCAGTCAGTTGGTCAAAGTCGTTGCACCTGCTTAGTTTTATCTTCGAAATGGACTTCCTAATTGAGATCACATTGCTGGTCATATTGGCAATTATACTGTTGAAAATCTACCACCGGGCGAAACGTGTGAGTGGCCTTGAACTTTCTGCTCAAGTTCAAAGTGTCAGGCTAAAGTGAAAGTCTTTTCCAGCCTCTCTCATTCATTGTGTCACTCGGTGCCTCAATTATATGATCTTTCTTTTTTGCTATGACCAATTTATGTGGGAAGTATTAAGTCACAGGTTGATTCCGTTTGTCCCTGCACTAATCTAAATTGCAACTGCTTATCGTTTGATTTTGCGGAGCTATCTTCGAATCCATAATGCTATCAGTCGGTTTAGTCTTGCTGAATGGTAGGAAAAGAACCTAAAACCTTTGCACCACCTTCATTTAGTCTTTTGCCGCCGTGCTAATTTGTCGCTTGCTCGAGCAATTTCTGGTAATTAGCTACTACAAAGTAAATTACGGAAGCAAAAGTGTATAATATAATACAGTTGCATTTAGGTCGTATCTGTGCAACTGGGTCTGTCTTCCATTTGATCGTGAAATACAGTTTGTGATCATTCGTAAGGCGATTGCAGTAATTTAATATCTGTAAAAAAAAACCAAACGCACTTACACCTGGAATAATCTTATCAGGAACAGCTGTTTATTATCACGTGTTCGCCGACTTTTTCAAGGTCAGCAGCTGCTGCCGTGGATAAATCAGTGCCGTATCAAATATTCCGCATAATTTGCATGGATTATGGTTCCCCCTTTAACCTGCAGATCAGACTACCTGATCGGACCATATTAACCACTCAAACTTTCATATCAGACTGTCGTTCAGTTGCTGACTAGACCTATCCAAACTTTGCCTTCCAGTGCGATTAGTTTAATGAAATAGTAGAGGTCTAGACGGTTAGTCGTTAATATTTAAGAAGCCCATACCCAGCAAAGTGAATTTATATGTATGCATGTTTGCACAGTTGATAAGTGTGCACATTGCACTTGAATTTATTTGCTGTTCCTAAAGTTTCATTTCCTCTAACCCCGCTAATCATATTATATCTGGGCCCACATATGACTAATAACGAATCTTTATCGTACTTAGAGCGCCATGGCCCCGTCGAAGAATCGCCGGTACATATCCTCGCAGGATATTACCAAGAACATGACGCTGTACACCAGCAACAAGACGCAAATCGAGGTGGATCCCAAAACGCTGGCCTTCAAGAAGCCAACCGGCAACCCGCTGGTCCTCATGATGGCCTGGCTGATGGCCAAGCAGAAGCATCTGAAGAAGTACGCCCAGATTTACACAGAGATGGGCTTTGATGTGGTGGTGGTGCACATTACGCCCTGGCAGTTGCTCTGGCCGGTCAAGGGAACCCAGGTACAAAGCAAACAGTGTTATTATCATTCAGTTACTAATCCATGCTGATAACCCCAAACAGGTGGTGGCCGCTGAGACGCTGCGTTTTCTGGAGAACAACCAGTCGTATGAGCCGATCGTGATGCATGGCTTCTCCGTGGGTGCCTACCAACTGGGCGAGATCATGCTGCAGATGTCGCGCGACATGGACCGCTATGGCAGCATCCTGGACCGCTTCGTGTGCCAGATCTGGGACAGCGCCGCCGACATCACCGAGATTCCGGTGGGCGTGCCCAAATCGATTTTCCCCCGGAACGAGCGTATGCAGAGCGCCCTGCGCAACTACACGCTGTACCACATGAAGACATTCCACAACCAGGCCACCATCCACTACATGCGCTCCAGCCAGATGTTCCACTCCACACTGCTCAAGGCCCCGGCGCTGTTCTTCGTCTCCGACAACGATCCCATCGGACCGCCGTCCTCCAACCAGGCGGTGCGCGAGAACTGGGAACGGGCGGACATCAAGGTCACGTTCAAGTGCTGGGAGCGATCCCAGCATGCTGCCCACTTCATGAAGCACCGCGACGAGTATCTGCAGACGCTCTTCCAGCATCTGGAGACCTGCGGCGTTCTGGAGGCCATCGGCGTGCCCAAGCGCGCCAAGTTGTAGGCGCCTCTTTCGCGGAGCCGCTGACGAATTCGGTGATATACATTTATTCAAGAATCAACGCGATTATGATTTTACCCTAGCTGCTAAGACCTAAAGTTTAACGACCTAAAAAAATTAAAACCAATGTCCTCTTTGAATGATTATGATCCGAGTGTCTTTCGCGAGGCAGAATCTTCAAACGCCCGCAGGGGAATTCCTAGGCTAAGCTTAATGTCGTATTGTATCAACTGAGAGAAAAATGCACTATGCCTCTATATTGTTATATTTTGAAATCGCTGCAAAACGGCTAAATAAAGTAATTTAAATGATACAGAAAAGTTAAAAGTAGGTGTTTAAACTTGTCCCTGCAACTTATAAGGGCCCCCTATAAAAAACTTCGGTAATTTGATCTATATTACACCGGCTAAAAATAGTATTGAAAGTAAATAAAAAAATTTCCATCACATATCGCTGCGGACAGGACTTGAACCTGTGCGGGTAGAACCCAATGGATTTCAAGTCCATCTCCTTAACCACTCGGACACCGCAGCCTTATCGGAACTCGCTCTATTTCTTATGTCATCATTTGAGCTGCATAATTATATTCATTTTTTGTAATTTTTTTTAAATAATAATAATAATAATTAATAAGTAATATTTATTTTCTATATTAAACAGGAAAATTGGAAACGTTTAGAACAATAAACAAATAAAACATTAATTTTTATAATGAGTTTTTAGACCACACAGCCAAGACACCCACCCTGAAGAGTTCTCGGCATTTGTCTAAATCAAAAGCAAGCCATCCCTGGTTAAAAATGAGTCAAATGATATATTATTATCACAATATAATGGTTTAATGGAATATTTATCTGAAAATAAGTATACATAATACAAAGAAAGTAATCATGCCAAAGTAATGCTCCAACGTTTTTAGACCACCCCAGCCAGGACACGACCCCAGAAGAGTTCTCGGCTTGTGTCCTAACAAATAATACTGCAGCCCTGGAAAATGTGCTAAACACTCCCCCTTATAACATACTGGAACTTCGCCACAAGGCCGGCACAGCTGCGGTGTCCGAGTGGTTAAGGAGATGGACTTGAAATCCATTGGGTTCTACCCGCACAGGTTCGAATCCTGTCCGCAGCGGACTTTTTTATTTTTCTTTTTTTAAAAGGTTTTTTTTTTATTTTAAAGACATTTCTTTGTTTTACACTTCATTTTATGTGATGCTTGTTGGACAATAATGTTTATAATCATCAGCAACATAACGAGACTTATCTTGAGAATTATAATCAAATCTTTTGGCAACTAATTAGCCTTCTATGCTGTAATCAAAACCGTTCATATTCAACAATGATTCGTTCTCGTCTGCTTTAGAGGACCACATTTCACACACGACCTCCGTCAAGTCTTACATTTGCTTTTGGTTTCTGTGTATATTTTGTACGTCTGCTACAAAAATAGTTTGCATTTTGATTTATCTTTACAACTATGGTTTTATATTTAAAAGAAACTTAATACAACACGTCTGTATTAGTACAATAGCCTTAAAACTAAACCAGGCAGAAGAGGTCGTCCTACTGCTTGGGCGGTGGTCGGTAGACGCCGACGACGACGGCGTGGTCTCGCTCGTATGGCTCCAGCGTGAGCTGCTCCTGCGGCTTCAGCTTGTCCGCCTGCATCTTCTTCACCTCGGCAGCGAATACCGCCTCTGGCTGCGCCGTCGAGTCGATGCAGGAGGCCTTGATCGAGATGACGAAGTGGCCGCCGTTCTTTAGGAAGTGCTGGGCATTCAGCGCCACAATACGGCCCTGATCCGGCTGGGCGACGTCGGCGAAAATCGTGTCCACCATGCCCACCAGCATGCGGTACTTGTGCGGATGGCGAGCGTCCTCGATGATGGGTATGATGTTGGTGCGCTTCTTGGCCACGTTGATCAGATCGCGACCGGATCGGTGTGAGAACTCCACGGCGTAGACGAGACCCTCGGGTCCCACCACATCCGACACGTGCGAGACTGTCGTTCCGGAGGCGGCGCCCAGGTAGAGCACCTTGGAGCCCGGCGGCATGTGAATCTGCTCAACGCCACCCAGGACAGCGGCAGCCAGCTTGGAGCGGAAGGGGTTCCACACACGGTACTCGATCTTCTCGCCATTGGTCTGCAAGGGAATGGAAATGGTGATTAAGAATGTTGATTGGTTTATTTTTAACAAGTTAAACAATAAACTGGGAAATGAAAGAGGGAACAGTAGGTGCGAAATATTGTGTAACCGTGGAAATCTTTAAGTGTGGGAACAAAATCAATATTGAAAACGTTTAATTTGCTCTCGTTGATGTATAATCTTGGTAAATGCACATTATTGCAATATAACTACATACATTAAAATTACTAATCTGTTATGGTACATCCAATTTGTTTGAGAAACAGTTGGTAAACAATCAATAATTTTAAACCCTATAGATTTCCCTGTGAAAACTGTTGATAAACACATGGTATTCCAAGATAGGAGGCTTGAAAACAACCGAAAATATCTTTTCAAAATGGTGGATGGGATTGTTTGGGTTCGGAATGTTTTGGGATAGGATAGATAGACGCCTCAGTTGTGCATTGTTCTAAGCAGACCTTGGAGCACCCGCAACTGCTTCACGTGCACCTGGAGTGCACACAGCCACAGGTGGCCGCCATGGCTGCTCATGGCCACATGATGCCATGTTCTGTACCCCTGCGCACAACCTCATCATTAGCCGGGGATTGGGATTTAGACTTGGAACAAAGATAAAGACAGAGAATAAAGTACAAACCTCGACGGAGATGCGCTTCTCGCCGTAGACCTCGGATCCGGGTACAAAGTTCCTGGTGACCAGGGCGTCCTCCTTGCCGCGGGCAATGAAGACTCCCTCGTGACGATGCGCTTCGATGGTGACGGTTTTACCGCCCTTGAAGCCTCCGGCGCCACCACCACGTCCTCCGCCGCCGCGACCTCCGCCTCCACGGCCACCGCCGCCACCTCGTCCTCCGAAGGCACCACGTCCGCCGCCACCACCACGACCACCACCTCCTCCACGGCCACCGCCTCCAAAGCCACCACGACCACCGCGATCTCCACCGCCTCCGCGTCCACGGCCACCTCCTCCGAAGCCGCCACCGCCACCTCGGCCTCCTCCTCCAAATCCGCCGCCACCACCGCGATCTCCACCGCCTCCGCGTCCACGGAAGCCACCGCCTCCTCCGCCGCCGCCACCACCGCGTGGACTGAATCCTGCAATGAAAAACGATCACATTTAAATATTCACCCTCTAAGAGGTTAAGTTTATGGGTCAAAATGGCTGCTGCGCCGACTGCTTTCGACTGGTTCTACTAAAGGGGGATCTTGCGCACCTGGTTTGCCCATTTTATGCTGCTGTACTTGCACTTTTTAATACAACTTTCGACGAAATGTGAATTGGGTCCGTTAACACGCGGCAACCAAAACGCTTGAAAAGAAAAACACGTGTGTGCGCCAGTGTGTCCACACCAGCGACCGTGCGAGAAAATACCAGAAAATAGTGTGCCCACTGGGTGGTGAAACTGGATACTGGTAAAGCGACGTTCCAAACCATTATATTAGGGGGACTCGGTTTCAAAAATCTATCTATACCTTTTATAAAATATGTAGCCTAACGGACATTTTAATATTCATATTTGCTTTTTATTTCCATTTTTCCTAATTTGGGAATTTTTAGAAATAGGGAATAGAAGAAATAGGTAATTTAATAAATTTAAAAATATTACCGGAAGTTAAAATCTTTTCCCGCTTAAAATTTTAATATATATATAATTTATTACTATAGAAACACATTACTATTACTATGGATTGGCACCACATCCCAAAAATGGTATACTTATCATCTAAACAAATAAATCACAGACCGTTGTCCTTGACAATGACCCAAACGCCTTGGAGATCTAGTGTTCGTTGACCAAACAACCACATGAAATCGAAGTTTCAGGAAAATTTACCAGTCCACTTTTGGAGTTCCAGTTGGGAGCACATATTTTCTGAAATTATTAACGAATAAATCCAATTGTTTTTTGTTTAAACTTATCCTATACAAGATGGCTTTCCACTCGGTGGTAACGATGGAAAAGCCCCTCCAGCACATCTCGCTGACGGACTGGTACGCCCGGGTGAACCAGATGCGCAATGTGGCGGATGCCCGGAGATCAGACGCCTTCGCCATGCGTCATTCATCCCGATCCCTGAGGAACGAGACGAGGATCGAGGGCGACTGGGCCAACTATGAGACTAATGAAGCTCTGACCGATCGGTGAGTTTATATTAAGAAGGTTTTTATCTTTTTAAACAAATACAAGTACTGATATAAGGAAAAATCAAATTATATTGTACACCAAATTTCTCTATTCAAGAATTCGACTTCTCACTTTTTAGAGAAGAAACGTCCTTAAAATCAATAAGTTGAAAATAGTCTCGTAAGCCGAGATCACTTTAACATTATTAATAATTTAAGATAGAGTTGAGAGAACCGCACCGCAGAGTAATGCACCCTACCAACTTTTTAAAGGGTATTTATCAGGATTTTTAGCTTAAACTTAATTAGAAGAATGGTAGAAAAACTTCATTTTAAAGCATATAACAATTTGTCGTATTAATACGAACCTTCAATAGGATCTCAGAGTTGAATCGCTGGAGGGATATAATCTCCAAGTCCTTCGAGAGGATCGAGCGCGAGATCTTCATGCTGCAGGAGGAGAAAAACGCCACGGAACGTGAGCTGGAGGCGCTGGCGGGACCGATTTCCGTGATAGCAGAGTGCCTTACCATGCGGGATGGCCGCCTGGGATCGGAGATCACCTACGACGAGGCCGATACGGAGATCAAGAACGAACTGGTGGTACTTGAGAACAACCAGAGGCTGCTGGCCGATCGCTGTCAGAAGGCGTGGGAGAAGCTGAATCGGCTGGAGGAGGTGCGCTTCAAGATCGGCCTGGAGATCGAGTTCAAGGTGGAGGCGGTGCAGCTGGACAACTCACAGTTGGCCCTCGACCGCAACTCGGCCAATATCTCATACAAGCCGGATCCCACCAGGAACCCAAAGAAGTGAGTTATAAAGTGGTAAATTAATATACAAGCTAACCTCCCATGTAGTTCCTGTTCGTACGAGTCCTGGCTGGAGAACGTGAAGAACATAAAGCTGCTGGCGGAGAACGAGCTGGCTGATACGTACGCCATACGGGAGGCGTTGTTCGTGTGCCGTGAGAAGGCACGCAACATGCTGCAGTCCCAGCAGGAGCGGGCGGAGCACACCATTCGCAAGCGAATCTTCGAGACCCAAAGGGCCCGGAACGAACTGGAGTGGCAGCAGATGAAGATGAAGGACGAGATGGAGAAGGCGATGTGCGAGATTCGTACGTCGGAGAATGCCCTGCGCGACAAAACCGATGCCCTGAAGCTGGCCGAAACGCGTCTGGAGAACCGTGCCCAGAGATCGGGCATGGAGCTGTGCATGGACCAGGCCCACGACATGCTCTGTTTGGAGGTAGAGAAGCTGCGCGAGATCAGACGCCGGCTGCAGGCCAAGATCGACGAGAGCAAGACCAACTTTAATCTGCTGGAGGAGCACGGCAAACGCATTGACGTGGATCTGGAGAACAAGCAGCACTCGCTGATGACGGACATCCGGGCACTGGATCTGCGTATGCGCCTCCGAGGAGGAGAGTTCGGCACCAAGACTACTCCGGCCACGCAGACCGACAGGAACATTACGCTCACGCGCATGGAGAACGAGATTCCCAAGGATTAGATTGTATTTTCGTTTGAAATATCACTCATTCAATGCATTTACCCTGACGTTCATTGCTCGTTTGTAATTTGTCCAAATTTTTGTGAATAAACGATCGTAATCTAAAGCTTCTTTGGGCTAAAGCTAAAGTTCAGTTCACCCAGCAGTGGCTTGAAGTCCGTGCTCCATTCAAGGTGGCTGGCGGCTTCTTTGGTTTTCCTGGGAAAGTGCACGCCCTGTCGGACGAACATGTCCCACTTTACAAAGTCACCGGTAACGATGGGTTCACTGGGACCACTGCTAACAATAGATCTGGGACTGCTGTCGTCTAGCAACTGCCAATCCACCCAAAGAGCCACTCCATTGCAGGTTCCAGGACTGTAAGAGCGAATGAGATTAATACTTTTAGAAGTCGTATTACTGAGTTGTACCTACTGCTTCAGTTCTATGCTGCCCTTGAGACTGTGCTCTTTACTAAAGTTGCTGAACTCCACATTGAGCACTTCCTGCGGTTCGGAAAGGGCGCGGCAGGGGTATTCCCAGAGAGGCTGGGCTTCCACCAGGGATACTGCCTGTTCAGCAGATCTCTGTAAGCAAGAAAAATCATTATTTCGTCTGATAAATCCATTAAAGTCCAAGTATCAAAGCTCACCTCTACCATTTCATCAAACAAACGCAGATCGAATCCCTCGCAACTGCCAACGGGTGCACGTATCTTGTGCAGATCCAGGAATTCTACGGGCAGAGCATAGATTCTCGCTGAGCAGGGCGAAATGTTCACACCCTCTGGTAGTATGTCCTTAATTTTCAACAGCAAGGTGCCAAAGTAAAAGTTGTCCCACGGCAGGATGGCATTCATGAAGTAGGGCTCTGCGAAGATGTGGGTAAGCGAAGCCAGCTGCGACTCCTCGAGCTCCTCTACCTTGTCTACAAACTGGATGTTCTTTAGCTGGTTGTGCTGAACAATCGACTCGAGTAATCTGCGCGAGAAGCGATGAGGTTCATGCAGTTGCACAGAGGCAGCTCCCAGGGCAGAGCTCGCTAAGCCCAGGAGGCAGCCATTTCCGAGGACCAAAACATTGGATTTCCCCGCCTCAATGCTTTCCTCCAGGTAGCGAAGGTAGCGTTTGTTTCGCGGGGACTGGTTAAGCTGACCGATCCTGCTGCGCGAGTAGGTCATGTGCAGGTCACAGGAGCAGGTGTGTCGCCGCACGCTTTTTGTAGGCGCCTCCTCGCGAGCATCGAACCACAGGGAGTACTCGTCGTGGTGACAGCTCAGGTGAAAGGATTTACCTGCCTCGAGCAGCTGGAATGGCTTGGGTATGTAGTAGATGGCCTGCATCCAGTGATCCCGCCAGGGCACCACATTGGGCAGCGGGTGGTCCTTTGCCTTCTCGGCCGCCAGTTCTTTTAGTTGAGGATGCGCCCAGTAAGGAGCACAGCTGAGGAGAATCTCACCGCCGTCGTCTAGTTGGATGTCCCACCAGTAGAAGACCAGTTCAGCAGCTCCTGGTTGCTTGGATTGCAGCTTTAGTAGCTGCTCCCGCTGTTTTTCTCTCTCCTGCTTTTTCTGAAAATCAAACTGAAAGATCTCCACGGGATCGGTGAGTGGGCGGAACGCTGAGCTGGGCAACTGGGAGAGCTGGACGTCGTGGAGGGCAGCCTCTCCTGGGCAGCCTTTAAGTTGCTCCGGCGGTTGCAGCAGAGGTTCGCCGTCCAGGTTAGCCAGTGTTTTCAGGCTGTTCCACTGCGCAGCAAGCGGGGATTGGGCCACCTGGGCGTAGCACCTGGCGCGAGCGGGAATGCAGAGGGCATCTTCAGTGAGAAGTTCCGCGTGGGCATGGTTGTAGATCCCAATGGCTCCCTCGCCGATGAGTTCCGTGTCCAGCAGCTCGGCCACCAGCAGATTGGCCTTCCGTGGCATGTCATCGCCCACCTGGATCTCCGTGGAGCGCTTTCGGATGAGGCGCACCTTGTCGCCGGCTCCATTGGCGGCGAGGATCTTCTCCGCGCAGTTGGCCATGGGCAGGAAGGCCTCGCAGGCGGTCACCGAATCCGCTCCAGCTGCCAGGGCCATCATGGAGAGGATTCCTGTGCCGGTGCCGATGTCCAGGACATGGACCTCTCTGCCCGCCGCCCGCATTTCCCCGATGATCTTCTTTAAGGCGGCAAAGTACTTCTGATTCCGCTCCCAGTCATGCAGCATGTCCCCGAATCCTGCGTTGGCCACCTCCAGGTGGTAGTCGTACTCATCGCCGCGCTCCTGCCAGGAGTTCTCCCCCGTCATCGGGTTAAGCACTTGCGAGAAGCAGGACATCGTGCGGGGACTTAAAAAGCGTGCTTTTAGCAAATTCCTCAACATAAAAAAACCGGCTAAGTAAATTCTTTCTAAAGTGCAGGCTGCTTTGGCTTAAAAAGAGCCAAAAATAAAGCTGAAATAGCTGTACTTTAACTTGGCTACAAAAACGATTTAAGATAGCTAAAATTTATCGATTAGCCGCGTATAAATATCGAACTTAAGATGCAACTTAACTATAGTAAAATATATCCATAACCTATGCCAAACCTGAACCCTATTCTCAATTGCATTTCTTAAGCATCGAAGTCCTGTTCAAGTTTCTGCCCTTATAAGTGTTAAGAAATTTGGGATAAGAAATATTTAGAATTAAATAGTAAGGTAAACAGATTCAAACATTTAGTTTTCATGGCTGGTGTGTAGCTCAGCAATTAAGACGCCCTTCAGTTCTGCAGTAGGGACGCGGTGACATGGCTCAAGGCAAAAAGCTTTTTTGTTTTTTTTTGTGCCTAAAACGCTGTGCCGCTGTTGACGTCAGCAGCGAAGTCGGCGCAGTGTAGAAGACTGTCTACGAAAACGATCGTGCAACAAAGAGAGACAGATATTCGGAGCTTCCCTCTCTTTCTTTGTCTTATAATCTGCCTGCACTCGGCGCTCTCAGAGACAAATTTCGGCAGGTCCGTTATTTCTTTTGAGTCTCTCCTTTATGTTCGGCTAGCGACTAATGCGGAAAAATTTTCGTGGCACAGCGACATGTGAATGCCCTAATATTTTAGGAGCATTATTGTATATCGAAAAAAAAACAACTAATATTGTTTTATAAAAGTAAATTATTTGATTATAGTAAATTTAATTTACTTTTAATGGTATGCTTACGTATTATACATTAATATTACAATATACTTTTTTAGTTAAATTATAGAAATTTAGTTCGTTAAAATTTATTTAAATATTTAAAACATTTTAATAGTACCATTTTTAAAGAATTCATTTTGTATTTTTTACTCAAAAAAGTAAAAATTATGTAGTCTGATATTTTTCGCTTTAGAAAGGGTATAGGTGCAGTGGCACGCGCCAACTGCGAAGAGAAAACAAAAGAAATTAAGTAAAGGGGTGAGAGGAAGACTTGGTTCATTCTGTTTGAGTTATTGAAAGGGAAGCAAGCCATTTAAATTGTGCGCAGCAGATTTACTTCTTTCGTTTTTTAAAGTGAAAATAAAAAAGTCAGGTAAGTGTTACATTAAGTTGAAGATGTTGTGCATCGATCTTAGTTTAAAGTATAAAGGTATTCAATGGGTTCCGTTAGCCGAAAGTGGATGATGAAATGTTTTGCGCCAATAAAAATCCTGCAAAGGGTGAAACACAGCTCTAAAAGGTAAATATACAAATAAAAAAGTAGAACGCATTTCTAAACATATGCATTACATTTTTCAGGAGCGTTGGCCAAGGACTCCGAGGACCCGAACAAATCTTTAAGAAAGGCAATGACTAATGTTAAAAATAAACTTACCAAGCAAAAACACAGAAATAATAACTGTACAATTTTTGAAAATCTTAATAATACTGTATAATTAAAAATAATTAAAATGAAATTAAATATGTATGTATTTTAAATTCTATTTTTTTATAATTGAAAACTCAAGGAAAAATTCTGATTTTCCCAAGTGATTCACTTGGGACGAGTCACCGGCACGTGACAGGCCATATGAAAAATGAGTATAAGGAACAAGTGAAATCCCGTAGGACTTCGAAAAATGTTCATTTGAATTTTCACTTGTGAAAATGCGGACATCCCATACAATTTTCTATATGGAGCGTCACTTGTTCTTCACTTGTGCACGAGGACATGTCCCAGGTGATTCCCAAGGTGATTCACAAGTGAAACTTTTTTTTTGGAACTGAAGGGCGTTTATAAGTCTGTTCGCTTCTCTCGCCCAAAAGCTCTCGTTTAAGCTCAGCCTAATTAGAGTCAACGATATCGAGCTTCGGTCGGCCACCGGATTTACATTTATTTATTGGGCAATATTTAAAATGATAAATTGGGCACATATTCAAATGCAAAGAGCCTGCCAACCATATATTATTTTATATTTATAATCATTTCATTCTTGGCATTCAACAAACATAATTGGCGTACGTTTGCTCTGCATAAATTGGATATTTTACTTTTTTTTCGTGGTATATGGTTAGCTAATTGGTTAATCAAGTGACCCCTGAGCAGAAAGTATCGAAAAAAGCCATTTGAGCCTCCCAAAAGTATCCCATATTCTCTATTAAGGCTTTTAAACTTTAAAAAAACCGCCGATAAGGTATAAGATAACAGCGCATATCAAAGTTGAGACTGCCACTCTGGCAGATAACCTTGCCATATGGCAGCACTGGGAAAATATATCGAAACCATCCGATAAATCGATAGATTGTGGCGGTTTTCGCTAAAAAGTTCAAAGATTAAAAAGATGTGGTTGATTCTGTTTATATGTATTTTATTATTTATGTTTTAATTTCTTAATGATATTTGCCTAGGTATAAATATAAAATATATTTTACTTCAGAACTGCTGGTCGAGTCTCCTTTTGACACTAGCCAAAAGTTTTGCCCGATAACTAAGTCCACAATTTCTGACCAAAGGAGTCTCATTGTCGTATTTTCTGTTGAAGCTGATATAACATCTGTAATCGTCAAAATCTTCCTTCGGACCGAACCATTTGTCGACTAAGAAATCAACTAACAAAAATCCTAGTACAATGAGTATTAGACAGGCAGGATTAAGTTGAATAAACGACAGAGGACCTTCCATTTTATTCTATATGTTGCT